ATGAAAAAGGATCTGCACACGCATATTTCAATAGACACTACATCAGACAGTCCCCGTTATTAATATGGATCACCATTCTACTTGTACCCCTTGTGATGCCAATTCTAATCTAGTTTTATGTCTGTTCAATAACTCTTTATATGTAACTATATTTTCCATATTAATTAAATTTGAGTGTATGTTTCCATCGTAGATAGCTAAATGGATGTTTTGGTATAGTGGTCATGTTTAATTTTGTTCCATATTAATAACGGGGACTGTCTGATGTAGTGTCTATTGAAATATGCGTGTGCAGATCCTTTTTCATACCAAAGGAAGGCATGTCATCTTGCGTGGAGGTCATGACCTTTCAATTTGAGTAATCTTTTAATTCTCAACATTAGTCATTCTTTTAACCATGTTATAGTGGCCACAGTATAATAAAGTTCCCAATCTGGTACTCCAAATCCTCCTTTTTCCTTAGTGTCTTGCATAGCTTTATTCTTGGTTTTCTTCCCTGCCAAATAAATTTCAAAACCAATTGATTCAAATCCTTAAAAAAAACTTTCTAATTTAATGGGAATATTCTGAAATAGAAAAAAAAATGTTGGTAGCACATTCATTTTTATGACTGCAATCCTACCCATCAGGGGCAATTGTAGGTTTTTCCACCTTTCTAAGTCTTTCTTAGTTTTATTGATCAAATTAGTATAGTTGTCTTCTTTGATGGATACACACCTCGCAGATAAATGTATACCTAGATATTTGACTTTTGACAGTTTGGATACCCAGTTTCTTCATTAACTCCTCTTTCAATTTGGATGTCATATTTTTAACCAGCATTTTAGTCTTTGTCATATTTATCTTTAAACTCGCTACTTTCCCATAATCTGTCAATTCCTCAGTAAGTTTCATACCGAACTTTATAGGATCCTCTAAAACTAAATCGTCTGCGAAAGCCTGTAACTTAAATGTTCCTTTTTGATTTCTAGTACCTTTATCTGTTCCTCTTTACGTACATTCCTAGCTAGAACTTCTAAGGTTAATATAAACATCAGTGGGGATGGTGGACAACCTTGGCTTGTACCTTTCTGAATTGCTATACTTTGTGTTAATTCACCATTAATTATTACTTTGGCTTTTTGATTTGTATATATTACTCTAATCATGTTTATAAATTTAACCCCAAATTCCATGTGTTCCAATTATTGATGCAAAAATTCTCAGTTCACATTATCGAATGCCTTTTTGGCATCGAGAAAAAATAGTGCAACCTGTTTTTCATTATACACTTCATAATATTCGGGAATGTCCAGCATAATTCGCATATTGTTTTTAATTTGACTTCTGGGGAGGAATCCATTTTGATCTGTGTGGATGAACGATGTAAGGAATTTTTTCAATCGTTCTGCTATTATCAGAGTAAAAATCTTGTAATCTGCATTTAGCAGTGAGATTGGTCTGTAATTTTGTATAAACATCTAGTCTGTGTCCACCTTAGGTAATAATACTATGTAAGCCTCCATCCATGATAACAATGTCTTCGCCTCTTTCAACACAGCATTATAAACTTCCAACAGTGTTGGAACAAGCATATCCTGGAATTCTTTATATATTTCCTCTGGCAGTCCATCCGGCCCTGCAGCTTTATTATTCTT